TCATTATTGGGTTAGGTTGGGCCACAAAGGATCCACCCGTTGCAGCCTTTGTTGCCCAGGAAAAGAAGGTTGTTTTTAATGGTGATGAACACTGTCATTCCTGGTAAATTATGGGGTACCCCAGGGGTTTATACTAGGACGAATGTCTTTCTTGTTGTACCTTTTGTTTTGAGAGTCACAGTTGCGAGATCATCCAATTTTACTCAGATTATTTAAGAAATATTGATCTATTCCAGAGTTGAGCTTTAGACTGCTTTGGACAGCTGTTATGGTCTCCTAACAGTCATAAATCAGAAAATAATTCACCAATTCAAAATTGCACAGAGGAGGGAGCCAAAGTCAAAAACCAAAATGAGAAAAAAGAGAAGAGACCATATTACTTCTCTTTTAATGCTGTTACACTGGCTGGATTGTTTTTATGGTGCTTCTAAAATGCATTTCTATTTAATCTCATTAATTACTGTGTTGTATTGGTTTATACAATTTGTATAAATTCAGCACTAAATACTATGTTGGTTTTTACTTTGTTGATCTTAAATCACGGTTTGTGTCTTTTTGTTATTTCCTGTCTCAGTCTTTAATTCTCACTGTGTTATGTGGTTTTGTTGCCCATGTTTTGGTAATAAATAAGATAGACACACTCAACTTATAGTAAGAGTGGAAGTAGACAAAGTGAAATGTCCACAGCATTCTCTCAGTACGGATGTTTGTGTCGCATAGTCTCAGGTTAATAATATAAAGCGAGCTGCTGAAACCAGCCACTCGCTTGAGGCCAGGAAAACAAGGACAGTCTTTTCAAATCTCTGAAATCAACACTGACACGAGTGCATGCTTTTCACACTTTGCTGACTCTGTATACAATTGCCATTCTTTGCACTCGACCTTTGGGCATAAATCTGAATGCTAGTTTATGCACTTTCAAAAATATCACCGATAACCAGAAACAACAGCCAGAGGTTTACCTGACCCCAATATCTTGTACAAAAGTAATGTGATGAAACTGAGGGATGATAGCTGAAAAGATGGAAATGGAAGTGAAAAACTAGGATGATTTCCTGTGATAAGGTTACATTCTGTGGTTTTGTGCCATGACATGGTCAAACTCTGTAAAGCAGAATGGAGGGATAACATCTTTAAATGTCTCAGCTCCCCAACTTGCATTAAATGCTTTCATGACTCTGAAAGTTTAGGATGAAAACTGAGTCAACTGCATAGCAATCACTTCAGTCCTCTCATGCAATGAAAGATGGATTTCATTCTGGAAAAATATATAGACAAAGATAAACCTTACCAGCAATGTAGCTAAAATATGATTTTCTCAGCAATCAGCATCCACTCAATAGATGTAATAAAGGCTCTAATTGTTTATTTACAAACCAATGTAGAAGCAGTAGAGATGTCATACTTTTCTAGGATTAAGGAACAAGATGGTGATACAACAGGTACTGGCTTTGTACCAGCTCAGTGACCAAAGTCCCTATAATCCCAGTAAAGAACGCCCTCATGAGTATTGTGGCTTCAATACAATGGATAGCAGTGCGTGTGTACTGATTAAAAAGTTTTCCTCAAAGTAGAGTATACTCATAGGGATTAAAATGGTGGCCAGCAAAAGCAGCCTCCTGGTTTGCACTTGAGTTGGCATGGCAACTGTGCAGCCAGCAAAACAATAGAATATACAGTGCATTAATAAGATTGAAATGTATGCATATGGAGCAGTATAAAGATTTTTACAGAATATTGCATCCCTCTTTTTTCCACATTTCATCAGATTTCTGGTGAAATAGCTCCTGCAGGATAAAACTCAGCACTTGTTATTAACTTCACTGAGCTCAGAGAATACAACATCCTCATTAGGCAACAACAATGAACATGGCCACGTGCACAGAGATCACTTCCCCCATCACTTAGACACATTGTATCTACAACATGTACAACATGTGCATAATATTTGTATTATATCATTTGTTCAAGCTATACTCTCATTGGGCAGGGGTTGTTATGACTATTGCACTTAACTGAAGTAATAAACTCATCCATCTGGTGAAATGGACTTTTGAGTACAGTCATCACAGGGTGAAGCGAGACATAAGTATAAAAAAGTAGATGCATCTTCTCTCTCTCCTCTGCATCAAAGGTTGCCTGTTCGTGATAATAATGCTTATGCATTGAGATATCCATTCTTGCACATTTTTAATGGCACTTTCTATTCAGTGGGTATCTTTGCCTGCATGGTTTCCTTTCAGAATGACCTAAAGAACATTCAAATGGAAATTAAATGTTGTCAATAAAAAAAGCTGAATAAATGGGTTTCAGGGTGGCCTAATGGTTTGACATATCCATCACTAATTTAATTGGTGCAAAAGCAAATGCTGTGATGTTGTCCACTTTCATATAGCAAAGTGGACAGCATATAACTAACTTGCATTTATAAAAGTGATGGTTGAGGTGCTTGATTATGACTGACTGAGCTGCGTTCAAAGCCGTTGTAAAAAATCTCTATAAACAAACACCTGTTACCACATTAAATCAAAATTATTACTGCATCAGTGATGGGACAGAAATGTGAATCGTCACTGCAATCCTACTGGTGCCCAAATAAAACAAGAGAATGATGCTGGAGCAATATCCCTGCTTCTGTCCAGAGTCACATACCCCTTCACCAGCCAAGAGGAGTGCTAATATGATTGAACACTACATCAACAGCTGCACAATAAATGGCGATATCCAGATAAACATTAATAATCACCCCAGTCCTTATGCATGCTTTCCACTGCGTCTCTGTGTTGCTTGGCAACCATTCTGATAAATGTCGCTTAAGAACTCCATTGCTTAGCAGGAGAGTGATTATTTGTTATCAATAAATTATTGCATTTTTTGTTGCTGTGTGTTTATTTTATGAAACCTTGCCAGGTGTATGAAATAACCATTTTATATGAGCAATAAGCCACAGGAGGCTGTGGTTTACAGTGGGTTGAGAACAGCTGAGGGTGTTGTTAGGCATGACGTGGAATCACTGCCTCTTGGGGCTTACTGCGTTATACTGCAGTACAAGTTTTCTTGTACGAGATTAATTCCAATTCTTTATATCCAAAGAAAAAAACATTTGTACAGATTTAATAAAAGGAAGAGACAGCTTTAACCTGAGGTAAATTCTATGAAAAGAGATTATTATATATGACATACCTAGAGAGTTTCAGTGAAAGTTTTGAAGCAGAAAAAAAAATTCCTATTCCTATTCCTCCTCTGGGTGGAGCACTGTTATAACTGTAATGCAGCAGCAAATCCTGTTGAACTGATTAAAGCCAAAAAGCAAAGTTTCAGGTCTGATCATGTTCATCTCTGTCATTTATCATTGGTATAAACAAGTTGGCATTAAAACAGGAATCACTGTCTATACAGGCATAACGCCACGAAACCTCACATTTGTTATTTGACACTCAATCACAGCTTATTTATAACCTCTGGCTTTAGCACAGGGCGCGCTGTGCAAGTGGAGTTCTTGACATGACTGAAACTGAGCCGAATATATTTTCCGAGATGACAACACATGGTACTCACCGAAGTTCATTTGCATATTAATTTGAAGACAGATGCTACTTGGTCTTCCTGCTGTATGAACAGAGCTGAGAGTTGGTGTGCACTCATGCCAGTCCAGCTGGAATAGTGTTTACTATACTGTATCCTTACAAACACAACACAGATTTCTTTATTTGGAGGAATTAGCTGTTAGCCCGGCTTGTTTTCATGTTGAATCTCTGAACAGCTTTAATTCGTCAGACTTCATGGGTTTTTCTTTCTAATGAAAATATACTGAGGTGTTGGGTTTCAGTAAATAACATACAGTGGCATATTTAGTCCTCCTGCGAGTCTGTAGCCTAGAGTGAACTGCTGTGCTGCTGATGCACACACTGAGACCACCTAATACTGATACAAACATTATAATCATGTTCAAAATGACAGGATTCTGTCTTGTGTTCATTTCAGGCAATATTTTTTTTCTGCATATCAAGAACTACTACTATGATCCGAGGCACAGCTGATTTTGGATGGTCATTTTCATTATATGTATATCCAGCATCCATCAGATTCAGTTCAGAGCAGCAAGTATTAAGATCATTTACTTGAGTAACAGTAGAAATTTTAATGTTGTAAATGTTTTATTTAAAGTATTGATATCCATTAGAAGATACGTTTGTGGTTTTAAGTACCAAAAACCATCTCAGTGTAGTTTTACATCTCCTCTTTCAGGCTTCTCTCTGGAGCTCTAGCAACAGCAGGATGGTGAGCCAATCAGAAGAGAGAGACATGGCTGATAGCCCTGACTGCTTTGTTGTGACATAACAAAGTTACAGAAGTCCTGATGGCTTGTTTTAAGGCTCAGTTTCTGAATACAGGCTGTGTGCATTTCTCTGTGGACTGAGCGTTTTGATACTTTCACTGTATTAATACAGAACCTAGACCTGCTTTATAATTAAAAGAAAAAGACATGGAAGTCTCATATTCTACAATATGGGACCTTTAAAATGTCAAAAAAAAGTAACAATTCCGAAAAATTGACCCTGTGAATCTTATACTATGATAAATTATATTAGTGAATTATTACGGTAATGGATTAATCTGTTAGTAGAATTTTATTGTACTTTGAGGTGTAGCATCATATTTTAGAAGGTGATAATGTGTTTTGTATGTGAAATCTTAATCTGGAATATACCTAATTTAAATTATCAAAGAAATGTAGTGAAGTAAAAATACAAGTAAAAAGTACCATAAAAAGAAGATACTCAAATATTTGTACTTAACTACAGTATTTCAGTAAATATTATATTTATATATTTGTTATATCTCACCATTGCCATTCACTATTGCCATTTACTACAGTACAAATTCTGCCTTGCAGTATTGACGCAGAGTTGAAATGCCTGTTTTTCTCACTCTACTTTTGTCCATGTCTTGCCCCCCCCCTCTTCCTCCCATTTCCCGTTCTCTTTGATTTTTTCCAGAACTTATTGCATTAGCATCTGACTGTGCCACATCATGCTGTGGATGAAGTGGAAGATGGTGGTGGACTCCCTGCGTGGACGGAGAAGGAGGCTGCCCTGTTCCCTCTGGTTCCTCCTGCTGTTCGCTGCTGGAGGTCTGGTTCTCTTCATCCACCAGCAGGATCTGTCAGAGATGGTCCAGCAACAAGGCCCAGGTTAGTCTCTACTTGCCCTAGAATGGCATATTGTAAGGTTCACCTTACAATGATACGTGTACCGATGCTTTCCCAGATGGCACAGATATTTTGTTACAATATTTTAACTTTTTAATTCAGGCCCATTTTTTGTGTACCTGAACATATCCTCTGCAGGATGGAAAAGTCCTTAAAAAGCTCTGAGACTAAAAACTTCAGTTTTTTCCTTATTGATCTAACACATTTCAGCAGAAAATGCAAAAACACACGATAAACACTTGATAATTGTACAACTACAACAAAATCTTCATCTTCTACAGCTGCAGCACAGCCCTCCAGCGAGGAGCAAGTGTTTTCCCTCTCAGCAAAGGCAGAAAAGAGTCAGGACAGGGTAAATTAATGTCACAGAGCAGACACAACACATGTGGTGAATGCCCTACACCCAGACAGCCCAGAAGAATGTCCATGAGTTAGGCTCGATAGTTAATCACCATAATTTTTATATTTATATAATTAACAGCTGTGCTTCTTAAAGTTTAAGTTTTACCTTTTGTTACACAAAACAGTTCACATTTGTTTTGTTACATTGCTGATGTCTAATACAAACAGTCATTTTTAACTAATAGATGTCTTCACTCCTCAACAGACAAGCTACCTAAAAAGATTTGAGGGATTTGAAAGGATTTGGATTCGATAAGCAGATTCGAAATTGGTTTCAGATACGATAAAATGCCTAACCCCAACCCTTCCCTCAGCCGTGGCTGCTCTGTTGCAAGTCTCTATCATCGCAGCTAAACAGATAGATCAATAGATACATACATACATACACACATACAAGCAGAGCTAGTTAATCCACTTCTCCACGCTGGGTTCAGAGTCACTGCTGCAGAGGCTGATTGGCAGACTGTAGCTGTGATTCTGACTCCAGTCATGGGACAATACACCTTTGGCCGCTGCTCTTGCTGACTGTGGCTGTAGCCATGGTTCTGCTTTGATTGTTATGATCATGGTTGTGACACACACACTACGTGCAGGGTTTGTGAGTGTGTGCAGGGAGATGACATGGTTGTGCTGACTGAGTGTTGTATTGAAGCTAGTGTACGCCTGAACTCCTGCGGTGTATTGGTAACGCATCTGTCATATCTGAAAGAAGCAGCACATATTCAAATCCCATGTGGCTTAACAATGCTTTCTTGGCTAATATTGATAATAAAGTAACCACAGTACAGCTACTGTAGCCATATGCATAGCACCAGAGATTCAACCACATATGGAACCATAGCCACATCCACAATAACCATATCCACAGCCACATCTTTAACCACCACAGCCAGGTAGAGCAGCTACAGCCCACATCATCTCTCCTTTCTAAAGTAACCTATCTGCAAAGTGTTTCCTTATGTCTATTATAACAAAAAAAACTAAACATTATGAAAACCCCCACAAAACTTAAGGAGGTACTAAAGCCTAAAGGATTTTTTGCGATGCACACATAATCACATAAAGTTTTGTTGGCTTATGAGGTTGATGCAAATAAATTCATATTGTGTGTAAAAACAGCTAACAGTGACAGGGTGTGGAGGTCGGTTTCAACTGGTGGCCCTTCCCACTGTGTTAGCAGTCACTGCGCCAAGCAAAAGAAGCGGAACTGGCAAATCGTAACATTGGTTTGTGTCTCTCACGCATAGCTGCTGATGTTAGCATTAGCAAGGCAGATATTCTTCTGCAGTGGCATTTAACACAACATTTGATCATGTGAACCGTGATAAACAGCAGGGCTACGGCTATGCACTGACACTCCTCCACAGACACACACAATGGAAAGCCTCTCGTAGCAGAGCTGCTTGCTCAGCTACAGCACAGGTATCCGACTCTCTCATAGGGACATAAATATGCTTCTATAGTAACTGTCAAAGCTCTGTCAGACTCCTTGTCTTAACAGTGGTGAAAAGTAAAGTGCGACAGTAGCTTTTCATGGCTGGTTAGCTCCGACTCCACAGTCCATGTCCATATATACACTGAACGGTTGTCAATCCTTCTCCGCCGTGACCCCTGACAGTCTCTTACAGTCATTGCTCCCTCACTCCTCACTCCCTCTTGTTGACTCTGATCTGAGATTATGCCTTTATCTTATAGTTGCAAAACGTACAGTATATATACATTTAGCAAAATAATCCATAGTCATAAGAAAACACACAATTACACAGAAACAATTAAACTAATGTATGCACACAAAAACAGAAGTACAAAAAATGTCTGTAGACACACACATGCATTCATGCACACACACACACACACACACACACAGACAGACATAAACATTGGTGAGCCAGTGAATGGATGGCAATGAATAGCAATGCACATGTTAGCACACCTAGGCCTTCTGTAGGTGCATATAAGCACATGCATAACTTACTGAAAATATACAAGCAGACAGGTAATGCATATGCATGCATAAAAGCAGTCATACAACACAAGAAATTACAGCACACATAGATGCACAAATGCACATGCTGGATGCACACACACACACACACACACACACACACACACACACACACACACACACACATGCATGCATGAAAGTGATAGCAGTACATCGCATTGAATCTTCTGCAAGTAATACACTGACTATGTATAATTACCTCACACAACCCCACCTCACATAACCCAAACTGTCACTTTAACAACCAAAGAAAAAGTGAAAAAAATGCATATGTGTGTGTGTGTGTGTGTGTGTGTGTTTAGATATTCTTTAGTGTGTGCTGAATCCATGTTTAATCAGAGAACATTTGTTCCATGAATGCTTCCCTTTCATGTCAGCTCAGTGGCCTCGTGGTCAGAGTTTCCACCGTGATAGAGAGAGGTTGCGTACATTCAATTTCCAAATGAGTCAAACCTTTGTCCTCATAAAGCGACGTGATGTGCTTCTGCTTGGCTCTCAGCATTAAGGAGATTGGGGTTTAAGCAGCCGTGATGGACGAGTGTCCTAAGCATGTAAAACTAAGCTGCTTCGTGTCTCAGAAACAAGAGATCAGCTGCTTGTTTATGCAGCTCTTTGGCTTGTTCTACATTTCCACCTACACGAGAACAGCATTAGCTGCTTGTTGCTGCTGTTGTTGGACCAGCCCCTGACAATGACTTCTAGTATTTTTATTTGTAGCCATCACTGGTGATATTCACCTCATTTTGATTTCAGAAATTACACTTTTTTTCATGTAGTCTGTTTGGATAAAACTCTTTAACAACCTTAATGAAGTTCACAGGAAATTTTATTTTATGAACGTTTTTACCTGTGATAAATCACTGAGCGAGGAAACGAGGGCCTTGTGATGGGCTTGTGATGATCAAAGAACAAGCTGATGAACTGGTCCAGCTGGCTCTCTAGAGATAAAACCCTCATCAGCACAGTCAGAGAAGCTGCAATCCGCTGAGTATCGCCACTACAGTGTGTCAACAGCACTGTGAATCATTATGAATATCAGAGCAGTGTCACACTCCACAGCAATAAGAGCCACTTAGCCAGAGTGGAATCCCTCCAACCCTCTAATATTCCCCTGATTGTCAGATGCTTTCAGACGCGGTGTCAGGTGAAAAAAAGGCCATTCACGGTGATCCAGCCACGTAGAACACACAGCAGCGCACACACAAGGCAGACACACACGTTACGTACAGTTATACACCATCACAACCACTATTTAATATTCATGACAAATATCCGACCAAGACCCGTAAGAAGTTGTAAGTAGCTGGTTCATGCATTTGAGGATAACACCAACTTGATCTTTTCATATTTACAATTTTCATGTGTAACGAGAAGCAGATGCAGCTGAAGATCAGGTATGAAAGCCTGAGCTGCTATGCTAGTGGACAACATCTGCAAGGGGGGGGGGGGGGTTTCAATAAAAGCACAGATCATCGTCAGCAGTGCCAAGGGAGACTTTCAATTTTAACCTGAAATCTCCACCGAGCTTGTGACGTTCTTTCTTTTTGTGCTTTATTTACACTGATAAAATGGAAGTAAAAGGACGATGAACCTGTTTGCCTAAACTTTGGCCACCCCTGTGGACCCTGGGAGGGAAAGTAAAGATGGAGGAAATGTGCTGGACATTTCCGCTGAAGTCTGTGACTTTTCTCTGGCCCCTGTTGTGTCCATCAACACACATTTTCATAGTTTTGGTTATAATTTCAGTTATGATAATGTGGTGCTCAACAAAGGGTTTGCTGAGATCTGGAAACACAGTGACATCACAGCAGCTGAGTCCAGTCAAACAAGCAAACAGGTTAATTTTACCTTCTATCTTAACCATCTCAACTTGATCTAATTTTACTGAATTTTATTTCCAGGAAAAAAATTAAAGTGAGTCCCTCATTGCACAGCAGAGCTTTGTGCATACACAGCTTTGGCAGGAGGACAAACTTACACCATGATGTTTTCAACAGACTGGGAAGTAATTTTACTGCTCACCTGCGTTTGGCTAATTTGGGCGTTGTATGCAATCTGCATAATAGTTTGCCTGCTGGTGTTTCTTACGCCCTTTGACATGTTTTTAGCTGTGTAATCTGATCTAAATCATATTCATTTTAATTAAATGGAATCTGGAGCCGAGTGATTCCCCAGTTGTGGCTTTAGAGGTAATTGGTAAGCGCTGCAGTATCAGATATGTTACACTCACTGTTGATTGTAATAAACTGTGAATAAGGTACAGGCATGTGGCATTTTATCTGGATTTTATATCAAGCACTCTAATTGTTGCAAGATCTGTGCTGTATTCAAACTGACTGATGAGTGATTGAGAGTATAATTAATGGTTTGTCACTGACACTTCATTTTAACACTCTCAGCTTGCATTTATACACAGTATTTAACTTTTCAGAGATGATTTATTACCCACTAATGTCATTGTAAACACTTTATAAGGACAATTTTAACTGTTAATGTCTGTAACTCCTCCTATGATGCATTCATAACAGGTCGATAAACAGTTATTGAATGTTTGATAGCACAGTATAACATATTT